TAAGACGCATTCTTTAATCTTGACATAACTTTGTAACACACCAAAGGTATTCTTCCAGAGTATTAAGTTCAGAACCTGATGATGTTACCAGAGTCACAACCTATATGACAAAAGTCAAACACTATACAGAAACTAAGTATACAATTGTTCTTAAAGATAACATATAAAGTTTTTAAAATATAAGGCCAGATGTAGAACCAACTTTGTTCTCACAATCTCCCCCTTTTTGATGATGACAAAACCATGTATATTCATAGAACAATTCATACAGGGTAATCACCATGGAACACAAATTCAGTAGAGCTAACCGACTCCCCCTGAATCTGTTAATACTTAAAATTTCATTAAAGCTTGTTCAGAGTCTCCCCCTGAGCCCAAGACTCACATAATGAATTTTGCAGCATACAAAGTAACATAGAGAAAGAATACTTCTCCATTGACAACTCATCAACGTCTGACTAGATACCTGGTCTTTATCTCAAAACCTAGATTATTATCAGAACACTATGAGGCATTATAACCTGCTTAGTTATTGTCTTGATGACTTGCATCAAACATCAGAACTAAAACGTGATTCTTCCAGAAACTAGAATCGTGCCACCATAAGGCGCACAACATCATGTCATCAGAGAGTTCAACATCTGGACCATTTCCTGACTGACCGTGTATTTTGAACATGTCTCAGAATATGTCTTTTTAGACCACGTCTTCAGAACATGTCTTAGACCATGTCTTTTAGACTATGTCTTCAGAACATGTCTTAGACGATCTCTTTTAGACCATGTCTTCAGAACATGTCTTAGACTATGTCTTTTAGACCATATCTTCCGAACATGTCTTAGACCATGTCTTAGACCATGTCTTTTAAACATGTTTTAGACCATGTCTTCTGACCATGTTTTAGATCATATCTTCTGACGGTTCACAACCTATGAAGCAACTTGGTTAATAACAAAATTACTATACTTCCAGACAGTTCATAACTTCTAATAGATAATTTACATGTCTTTTCATCTAAACACGTGATCAGTGATAACACTACACGTGAACGATGAGGACACAAGATATAATGGCAAGGTCCGAGAGCTAGGAGACATCGCGCATACTTAGTCATTTTTTAAAAATATTTCACAAGTTTTTTCTAAATTGTAATCCTTGGATTTTATGGAAGGAAGGTAACCCATGGGTTGGGACGGATGAACCGAAGCGACAAGGGGTGAATCTCAGTGGATCATGGCAGCAAGGCCACTCTACCACTTACAATACCCCATAGTGTATTTAAGTCGTCTACAAAGAATTCTATCCGCCATTCAATAGGAATTGCGTTTCAAAGTATTCCGCAAGGCTCATCCATCTTACGGGTACACCAATGACACGTGCCTCTGGGGTCAAAGCCCTCTATTGCTGGTCGGCAAGCGAACGACGGACGCACGCATCGCTTCTAGCCCATATTTTGACTTAGAGGCGTTCAGTCATAATCCAACGCACAGTAGCTTCGTGCCACTGGCTTTTCAACCAAGCGCGATGACCAATTGTGCGAATCAACAATTTCTCTCGTACTAGATTGAATTACTATTGCAACACTGTCATCAGTAGGATAAAACTAACCTGCCTCAGAACGGTCTAAAACTAACTTACGTTCCCTATTGAAAGGTGAATAATCCAACACTTGGTGAATTCTGCTGGAAGAGCCGACATCGAAGGATCAAAAAGCAACGCCGCTATGAAATTCAGTTGCACACCAAGTGTTCGACAAATTATTTAGTTTATTTAAATCAAAGGAAAATTCCGAAAATTGTGTTGTACACCAAATGTTCGACAAATTGTTCAGTTTGTTCTTTTGCTAGTTATCATTGGAAATAGTATTGCTAGTAACTTACTACAAACTTAAATACGTTGTTACTTGATTGAAGTATATAAATTCTAGATTATTGTATTCATTCCATAATCATTCTTATATTTTCATATCCGACTTCTAATAACGTGATTAGTATAAACGATAATTTTTGAAAACCTTCCGCGTGCTCTCTTTTCTAATCAAGTTTTAAAACCAGAATTTTATCTAATTTTTTTTTAGTTTAGTGATCTATTCACTCCTCTAGATAAGATGTCAGTTGTCTAACAACTATAAATTAGACCAACCAAATGACCCAATGAATTTTACTCTCATTCTAGCAAACTCCACCTCCACCTAAACTCTGAAGTCCAAATTCCTCCTGCCCAGTACATCCTTCCAACCTCTTGAATCTTCTGCTCACAGATAAAAAAAAAGCCTCTCATAAGTCACACAAAGCCAATATGATCCTAACCCCTCATCATGCTAGAACCGAATATTCAACCCGTTCCACACCTGCTTACAATTAAATGAGGCAAACCAATCTCACGATTCTATAATATTAGAGCCAATGATAGTGACACTCCTCCACTAGAGACCCTTTTGAGATTCCTTTTTCTTCCTCCTTGATGGGATTTCACCACCGAAAACCCATACCTCAGAAACGTTCTTTTTTCACAAGGGAGACTCAACTTCCAGGAGCTTTCCAACGTCACTTACTAAGAAAGATCAAGTTAATACATTTAATTTACACAAACATCAACAATAATATACTTTGTAGAATATGTTAGTGCAAGGTGATGAAATTGAGGAAGAAGAGAGAAAATGAATAAATGCTAAAAGATGTCACTAATGATTGAAGGAAATTGATTGTATTAAATGTAAACTTAGTACACCTATTTATACACAAATAAGAATGCCACATAGACCCTAATGAAAATATCTAACAAATGACAAATACTAAATTACCCTTTAATAAAATACATAATAAATTATTTTTTAGAAAAATAACCTAAATGAAACACATAATATAAATTTACATATACTATGTAGTATGCAAACTTTTGTCATAAGCCTCTTGTAACCACAAAATCTTCTTACACTCGCGAAATCTTCTCACACTCGCAAAATCTTCTCAATAACATTGTTAACCATAGTGCCCACATATACTACCCCACCAAATAGTAAACTGTCATGTCTTGAATCTGCATGTATGCATAGCCGACACTAACTACACTACAACCCTCCTCTTTTGCAGCCTCCGTTACCTCCTATGTTAGTGCTTCTTTAGATTATTCGGTCAAAAGTTGATAAAAAATGAAATAAGAAAAACTAATTCAGAATTAGAAATTATTTACTCAAAAGAAAAATGAAGAAAAGGAGTTGAAATCCTCTCCATTTTTCAAAAGAAATAGAGAACATAATTATTAAAATATTGATGTATAAATATATACTATATTATTAAAATGTGTGACATATAATTTACATAATTTAACATATATATCATAAAAACATTAATAATTATACTCTCCATTCCTTTTGAGAATCACGCTTTTATATAAAGTGTTCAAATTCTATAAAATTAAAACACTTAAAAATTAGGGTGTAGATTTTAGAATCTGAAAAATATTTTTGGACAATTCAAATTTTTTTTTCGAGATGTTATAATCCATCACTCTTATGATGAGCTACAAACAATTGCTCTTGGGACCAGAAAATGATTTCTACTGTTAAAAAAAAAGAATTTTTGGTCCACAATATATGCAAAGGACATAGTGAGTAGCTTCAAAATGTTGATCATTTCATAAGATCCACTAATTTTATGTACTATTTGAGTCCCCTGTTCTCCACCATACCTGACCACTATTTAACATGCCCATGAAAGGCTATGGATCCCTCTTGCTGAGGGCATCTCCTTTTCAGCCAGCTAATCAATTACCAACATGATGTTTTCTGAGTCATATGCCTCATGACTCGTACGTGATGCAATATCACTTATCAATAAGCCATGCAAGTAGGGCCGTATAGCATCAATTTTTATTTATAGACAAATTATCATTTTAAAAAAAATTAGTTTTAATGATATGAATGGTATCTGTATCAAGATTTTCAAATTAATTTAAAATAAAAGTACAATGGTAAAAATGAAAAATTATTATAAGTAGCTATTAATAATATTATTATTTAATGATGTGGTAGATGAATTTTTTTTTTTTCACTGGAGAAAATCAACTTCCGGCTTGCTGTAAAAATCTCTAAAACTATTATTTAGATTAATTTTTCAAACAATCACTTTTATTTTAATCTGAAGTAAATTAATGAACCTACTAGTGGTTGAGAGTTTAAATGATGAAAAATTGATATTTCAATATCCATTTTTTTAATCCATAAATGAAGTGGCAGCAACCACTATAACAACACATATAATTGCGAAAATTTGACTTTGAAAATTAGTAAATTCTATTCTTACAATGTTTAAATTGTAAGATAATTGAGAATGAAAAATTATGTTTCAACACCAAAAATCAAATTCGAGTTCATCTTTAGTGGAAGTTCTTTTTTCACTAGAGTGTAAATATTTAATTTTTATTTATTTATTTTTATTAAAGGTGTCTCTTTATTTTTGCATAGTTTGATAGATTATTTTCAAAATGGTTTATGTATGATATTTTTTTTATCAATTAAATTTTTTTTAATAATTAATTGTTATGTTAGTTTTCTTTTAAATTATTATTTGAACCCTAATCTTTTAACTTCTTTAATCCAACTCAAATTAGTTTTAAAAGCTAACATAAAAATATTAGAGATATGGAGTATCAACTGCAAATTCAGATGTTAAAATAATACAATTAGTTGATATATATATATATATATATATATATATATATATATATATATATATATATATATATATATATATATATATATATATATATATATATATATATATATATATATATATATATATATATATATATATATATATATATATATATATATATATATATATATATATATATATATATATATATTTGCAACTGCAATAAAGTTAATTATATCTTCATATAATATAGGTCCCAAAACAATAATAATCAGTTGATTACACATTTACTATTACTTATACTACCCACTTATATTATTATAATTTTATTATTTATTTTTTATTCTATTGATGAATTCTCCAAAATCTTGTAGGTAGACCTTGCAAAGGAATTGGGAATGGGCTATATTGGACTCCACTCTTATCTCCCACTACCTCCCACCTGCAAATCAAAGTATTCAACACAACCAATCACCACTCTAATCTTTGATATTATTGCAAATATCTTATTTATATGGAAGACAACACAAAAAACATATTAAAATTTACCTAAACTTGGTTACTAGATGGTGAATTAATATCAACATATTCAACTTGGCTAGCTCACTTCCCGGACAAGAGTGCACTCCATTACCAAATGGCATAAATGTATTGGGCTTTGGAGAAACCCACATCCATCCAAAATCCAAATTAAAATGTATTCAAAGTCAAAAGCAAAATAACTAGAGATTTATTTATTTATTATTGATTTGATAAGTGGTAGAAAATTCATTAAATATTAGCATAGTATACCTCAAATCTTGATGGGTCAAAATTAGTTTAATACAAAAAAATGTATACAAGACAAACGGACAAGAAACTGAACTCCTACCTTTTTCATTTCACAGAAAGCGTTAATGAGTTGTCGAACAGAAACCCAGGATTCCAAGGATGAAATGACTTGAGTTTCAATATCGGGGATCAATTTCTTGATTGATTCAGGAGAAAGTGAGGTTTGAACAAGCTTCCTAATGCGAGTGTGATAATCTCCTTGATGGAAGAACAATGCAGACGCTACCTAGCTGCTTCAAGGAACTTATGACATTGATGATACGTTTCTGCAAGCTTCGTATTTATAGAGGATAAACAAAATGAAATGAATTTATTTTTATATTTAAAGGCAATGTCAAAAAATAAGTTTTACTGAAGTATGAAACCCCAAATATGCGGCCATGCGGGGTTTGACTTTACTGACTTTTGAGTTTTGGTGAGTGTAACCTTTTTTTTATTTCACTTTAAATTAATTATTCTTTCTTAATAAATAATTTATTTTTATTATTTTTTCATCTCTCAAATACACTAAGGTCACGAAGTCATTATAAATTTTATAACAAAATGAGTATGACCAAATTTAGTATAAAAAAAGAAAAGAAATAATTATAAAAGTAAAAAATATTCATATAAATTTATTGAACATGGTATATTAAAAAGGAAGTTGGGACAAAAGATTTAAAAAAATGGACACTATTCTCAAAAAAGATGAAGAGATAAAACCTATCCTATCAATAAGATGTGAATCTAAAACAAGGTATATCTAATCTATTACTTACAAAATCTTTTCTTAAATCTAAAGAAATGGATTAAAAAATGGTTAGTAATGTCAAATTTAAGCCTACATTAGTCTAATAATCTGCACAAGTGTTGTCTTCTCTGAAAATGTGAGAGAAATATAAATATTTGTTGGAATATAAGGTTTTGCACGAAATACTTTTCCTCCTGAGCTACCAAGGGACCAAACAAGGATTAAAGAAAGCTTGCACAACAAATTTAGAATCTGACGAATCCATAACTTATCCTAACCTTTGCTCATCGCAATCTCCATAGCACTAATGACTTTCTGAAATTCCACCATAGAAGAAGAAGGCCAATGGATAATGTCAACAAACACAATAAGGAAATTTCCCAAATTTGCTTGAAAGATACCACCACAACCACCAGACGGAGAATTGAGAATAAAAATACCATCATAGTTGCATTTTACCCAATCAAGCGAAGGAGGATGCCAAAAATATCAATAATACGAGGAGAATTCGGCGGCCGAATTTTGATGTTGAAAACCTTAAGGATACATAAATCATCCATAGAAGATGAGGAAGTCGTTGTAGTATTGTTACCAGTCAAGTGAATTTGACTACATATTTTTTGATGTATGTCCGAGGATAAGGAGTAAGATTCTTGAATCTAGCCCAATTCCTAGCTTCCCACACATAATAAATGATATAAATAATGGAAAATTTGAGAATAATCGAGCATTACTTGGATCTATAAGAAACATGATCCCACCAATCTTCCAAAGACGGAAGATGAATACTAATATTGATGGACTTATAGAACCAACTCCAAATTTTACGCGCAAACGAACAACCAAAGAACATGTGCTTGCTGGACTCTTCATAACAATTGCAGAGAGTGCATATTGAAATAATACTCAAACCTCTATGCTTAAACTTATCGTCCGTAGGGATTTTGTCTAACATAAGCTTCCAAACCACCAAAGATTTCGCTAGAGGGATGTCACGACTCCAGACGGATTTTCTCCAAGGCTGAGGGATAGAAGGAGCTTTGAAAATGTAAGCTCCCATGATCGAAAGATCACCAGACAAAGAGTGAGGCCGAAAATTTGTCCATGTTAGAAGAGTAGATGGTAGGAAAGTTTCTCTGTAGCAGAAAAGGGAACAATGAAGTCCAGTTGCAAGGGACCTGTCATTGACCATTCAAAATAAAATCCAAAACTTTAGAATAGTCACAAATATCATGAGAATGGAGAAACTCCATATAAGTGTCATCAATTAGATGAGGACCGCACCATTGGTCATGCCAGAAATTGATACTAGAACCGTTGCCCAAAGATCAAACACCAATGCTTATGATATTCTTATATTCAGCTTTGATCGAGAACTAAAGGGAAGAAAAAATATGGTATATGTTGCAACTGGTTCTTAAATCAGAGTCGCCTCCCTTAATTTTTATCATAAAGGAAGAGAGTATAAAGGAATAACCCTAAAAGTTCAAAGATTCTAGGCCTGACTCGGTTCTAGACGAGGGGAAGGTGTTAAGCACCCATCATCTACCTTGTTTACAAGGATACTAGGTTTAGAAGTGCGTTTTTTAAGAAATAGGGTTTTGATTTATTATTAGGGGAACTCGCCACGATTTTGATCGTATGCCTACGTATCCTCTTAGGAGGAATCAAAGTCCCAATTTGTAGTTCGTGGTTGGTTGGTTTTTTTTATAGGACAATGTAGAATTGCTTTCAATTTTATCCGTGAACCTTGTCTGGGTTGAAAATTGAGTGAGTGTAGATGTAGTTCGCAGTTAATTTCGATAACAATTCCCCTTAATCCTTTTTCGAAAATTTTCTTGAATTTGATTACATTAGTAAAAAAAATGTTTGAATTGTTGGTTAGTTGCTTTGAAGTTCGTTTTGATTAAAGAGTAGGGTAATATGAGGAGCAGGGGCAGTCTGATATAGTCTCCTCATCACGTGACCATAAATTGGCCACGTGCCGCTCGCGGATGGAGTAACTAGTGAGTTGCGTGGGTTTTAATTATTGAATTAATTAAATTGTGAAAAGTGTTTGAATTTATACAAGAAAGTTTTTTATTACAGTTACTTTTTGATGGATATTTTGAATATTGAAACTAGGGATGTAAAAGTTAATTAGAAAGGTACAAGAAAATAGGGCCAAAAGCCCAAATCACACAAAAACTTAATTTAATTTAAATAAAATAAAAGACAAATAAAAAACTAAAAAAAAGTTAAAAAATGTTACTAGCGACATGGCCGTTCTTTTGCCCATCAAAATAAATTAGAAACCATAACTTTTGACTTGGTTACATCATGTTAAAAGATATCCACCAATCCAATTGCGACAAGTTTCGTTTAAAAAAAAATAAAAATGAAAAATAGCATAACAAGTTAGCAACAGATCCAGTACGATCTTCCTTTTCTCCTATATCTTTTCTCTTTTCTATTATATTCTCTCTCAAATCCATTTTCTCTTTTCCTCCATACAAACCACTCAAATAACAATTAAGTAACAATTAAAACAATAGCAACCATATAAGCGAAGAAGAAACAAAATCAAAACAAGAGCTTACTAGATCTGAATCCAAATCCACGGGGTGTTGTGACTGAAAGTGTTGTCGGGGGTTTATTGCAGGTCCAGCGGTGGAACAATCAGTGGCTGTTGGGTACACAGGCGGCAACGTTGGAGGTGTCCGATTAGGTTTATTAGTTTCCAGCAGGAACTGAGCTTTGGTAGCGTGAGTTTTGATTTCGCGACGAGTTTCTCTTTTCCTCTTGTTTCTGCAATAACAAAAAAAAACTTTGTACTAATATTGATATTGTGTTGTTAGTTTTTATGGGAAAAATTTGTGAAGTGTTTATGCAGGTTGTGCCATGACTTTTGGTTTTGTTTCACTCTTTCAAATTTCGAATTTTGATTTACTTCACTGCTTTTCTTTGAATTTGAAGTGCTATTATGATTAAGAATTTTTCAGAGACGACATAATAATGGTTTTGTGAAGATATTAGCTTTAAGTTTTGAACAAGTTTTGTGAAGTAAATTAGAAGAAGATTATATTATAATGTGTGAATATTTTTATGGTGGTAGGAATTTATGATGAAGAAAATGTTTTATGATGTTACTTCAAATTACACGTGAACGTCAAAAGTGGAATATAATGTGTAGCAATTGTGGTTTTTGGTGGAAAAGTTGTTTATGGTATATGGTGTAAAATAACGTGACAAGGGTTTTTAGTGAGTGTAATATGTACAATAGGTTTTTCTTGTAGGGAGTGTATGTGTATCGTGTGGAAAAGTTTATGGATGGAAAAATGACCTCCTAAAAATTGTTAGTAAGAAAATATAATTAAGAAAAATAACCATCAAATAATATCATCATATGATTAAATAGCAAACGAATTAAGATAAAAAAAATTATAAATAAAAGATAGTGGCCTTATAGGTTAATCATTGGCCAAATAGTTTTGAAAAGAAATTACAAAAGTGAGTTTGTGAATGTGTGTGTAAAAAATTTCTAGATCGTGGATGAATTATGTGTGAATTGTGTGTGAATTCAAGATGTCCAGAAGTGTGAAAAATATATCCTATTTATAGATAAAAAACATCCAAATTGGAAATAAAAACAAAATTGACCAATCAGAAATTAAGTGTGACACAAATGGAAATAAAATTACTGATAATAAACCAAACATATCAAAAAAATGCACTAAGTGAGATTCAAACCCGTGACCTTGTATCTGTAGGCACGCTTCTTTACCAGTTGTGCTATGCCGTTTCATTCGAGATGAAAAAGGCAATTTAAAACATATGAAAGGTGAGCATGTATTTGCTGTTTAAAAATACAAATAATTTGAAATAAATTATTATATTTTTTAAATAGTCTTTAAAACAAATAAAACCCAGAATGTTAGTAATACCCAAAATTTTTTTGAAACCAAGTTACAAAAATGTGGCGGGAAAAATTTGGGGTATGACAGCTGCTCCTATTTAATTGCTCTTTGATTAAAGCGTGCAAGAATACGTAGTTCTCGCACGTTTGAATCAGAGGGTTATTAAATAATGGAAGACCCTAAAATTTGTCCTAAAGATTATAAGAATATGCTGTACAGCGTTCCCATGAATGTGAAGAATAAGCATAGATGACGATGTGTCATCTTATTAGCATTTGAACCAAAGTTTATTTGACTTAGATATGACGACGCGAATATCCTGTCAATATCTAAAAGAGATTGTAGAATTTTGCATGGCAAAATACCCATTTTGGTCCCTTAACTATACCCTTAGGTTCAGATTGGTCCCTTAATTTTTTTTCGCATCACTTTGATCCCTTAACTTTCAAAACGTTTCATTTTAGTCCTTTTTGTCCAATTAGTGACGGATTTAGCGACGAATTTCAAAGTTTTCGTCGCTAATTATACAAAAAGGACTAAAATGAAACGTTTTGAAAGTTAAGGGACCAAAGTGACACGAAAAAAAAATTAAGGGACCAATCTGAATCCAAGAGTATATTTAAGGGACACAAATGAATATTTTGCCAATTTTGCATATTTACCGTAACCTAGGATGTAAATGATACAAGCTTGAAAAGTTGACTTACTAACGGTTGGAGACTAATATAGTAAGTTTTGGTTTGATTAGATTTTGTTTATTCATTGCAACCTAGGGGATGGATAAAATAAAGTTTGATAACACATTACTGCATGGAGACTGATGCAATGGATTAAGTAGGTTTGTTCACATATCTATCGCAAGTTAGGGTATAGATATTTGAAAAAGAGCTTGATGACAACATCGTTGTATGGAGACTGACACAATGAGTTATGTCGCGGATTTTTCACATTGCTGCATGGAGACTGACGCCATGGGTTATATCACAAAGAAAGCTTGAAAATAACATTGCTGCATGGAGACTGATGCAATGAGTTATATCACGAATTTCACACATTGCTGCATGGAGATTGATGCAATGACTTATATCACAGAGAAATATTGATAACAATGTTGCTGCATGGAGACTGATACAATGAGTTATATCGCGGATTTCACTCATTGATGCATGGAGACTGACACAATGAGTTATATCACAGAGAAAGCTTGATAACAACATTGCTGTATGGAGACTGATGCAATGAGTTATATCGCGGATTTCACACATTGTTGAATGAAGACCGACGCAATGAGTTATATTGTAGATTTCACACATTGTCACATAGAGACTGGCACAATGAGTGGAATTGATGATTTCGCAACATTGCTGCCTGGAGTCTGACACAATGAGCTAGATTGAGAAAAAAGAACATATTGTTATGTGGAGACTAACACAAAGAGTTAGATCGAGGAAGAGACTTTGATGATGACATTGCTCCCTAGAGACTGGCGCAGTGGGCTGAATTGCAGATTTTAAACATTGTCGCATGGAGTCTGACACAATGAGCTAGATTATAGATTTCACACATTGTCGCATAGAGACTGACATAATGAGTGGAATTGCTGATTTCGTAACATTGCTGCTTAGAGTCTGACACAATGGCCTAGATCGAGAAGAAATAACATATTGCTGCGTGGAGTCTGACACAATAAGTTAAATATAGAAGTTTCACACATTGTCGCATAGAGACTGACACAACGAATGGAATTGCCGACTTCGCAATATTGCTGCCTAGGGTCTGACACAATGAGCTAGATTGTAGATTTCACACATTATCGCATAGAGACTGATGCAATGAGTGGAATTGCTGATTTCACAACATTGTTGCCTGGAGTCTGACACAATGGGCTAGATCGCGAAGAAAGAACATATTGCTGCATGGAGGCTGACACAATAAGTTAAATATATAAAATTTCACACATGGTCGCATAGAGACTGACACAATGGGTGGAATTGCTGACTTCACAACATTGTTGCCTAGGGTCTGACACAATGAGCTAGATCGCAAAGAAAGAACATATTACTGCGTGGAGACTGACACAATAAGTTAAATATAGAAAATTTCACACATTGTCGCATAAAGACTGACATAATAGGTGGAATTGCTGACTTTGCAACATTACTGCCTAGGGTCTGACATAATGAGCTAGATCACAAAGAAAGAATATACTGCTGCGTGGAGACTGACACAATAAGTTAAATATAGAAAATTTCACACATTGTCGCATAGAGACTGACATAATAGGTGGAATTGATGATTTCACAACATTGTTTCCTGGGGTCTGACACAATGAGTTAGATCGCAAAGAAAGAACATATTGCTGCGTGGAGACTGATACAATAAGTTAAATATAGAAAATTTCACATGTTGTCGCATAGAGACTGTCACAATGGGTGGAATTGTTGATTTCGCAACATTGCTTCCTGGGTCTGACACAATGAGCTAGATCGCAAAGAAAGAACATATTGCTGCATGGAGACTGACACAATAAGTTAAATATAGAAAATTTCACACATTGTCGCATAGAGACTGGCACAATGGGTGGAGTATATAGGAGGTTGTTTTGAAGGATCCACATCTTAGATAATTAAATCAGAGATGAGAACAAATTTGACTGGTTATTTGTTTCTAACCGAGGTAAGAACTGATGGAGGGCCCTAAGATATTGGCTCTGTTCGTAGTAGGTTTCGAGAAATGTCATGCATGACGCATATGTATGGAAACATGGACATTAGAGTGCATATGTAATGAATGTGTGTATGCCTAAAATATATGTTGGTGCAAACTACGTGTATATGCCTTAAAAATTATGGAAAATATTTTTGATAATTCTCCTTCGTTAAACCATCGGGTTCTTATAGTTATTAACCTCCCAACATTGTTTGTTGCCAATTATTGTATCTCCGAGTTGATTTAAATTTGGTGAAAAGTGTCAGTAAGACCTTGACGTCTGTATCGTAAGTGCGGGAATAGGTGTGAACGTAGGCGTGGACGTGGACGTAAGCGTAAGCGTGGACGTGGGCGTAAAGCCAAACGTAGACTTTATTTTGACGTTCTTCTAACCAGAATAAACTTTGATGCTTTATCATATGTTCTTCGGTGTTTCCGTATGTTAGGTGCACCAAATGTTGTTAATGACTTCGAGATTTTGATATGGTTATGTGTTTGATGTGAGGCTTTTCAACGGAAAAGCTACTGTCGAGATTTTCGAGGAATCTGCTGCTGAGATTCAATTGAGAACTACCTTATGCCGAGGTCTTCTAGATAATCATATGCCGAGATTAACCAAGAGAATCTATTGCCGAGATTCTGATGAAATACCTTCTTCCGAGGTCTTCTGGAAAATCAACTGTCATGGTCAACCAGGGGAATCTAGTGCCGAAATTCGATGTAGAATTGATAGCTTATTTGATAATGATGATTGTTTTTGTGTAAAATAAGGTGTTATGCTATGCGTGCAAATTTGATTGGTGGATGAAATGTAATGATTGATTGATGCATGTGATGTAATGATTGATTGATGTATGTGATGAATGACTTGGATATATGTAAATGGACGCTGGATTTTGAAATGCGAATATGTAATTGGGCTTTTTGAGATATTCTCGACCCATTCCGTCGGACTTCGTAAGATGGATGAGATGATATGTATAGCTTGATTTTGGATCGAAAAACCCTAATGCATGACTTATGCAACTTTATGCTTTATGATTATGACTCGAATGGTTTTTGAATGGTGCCCCTGTGATGGGTCATGGATGATTAAAGCGTAGAGGTTTGCCTATGCAACAAGGTTGCTTGTCACATGGTGATTGAATGTTATGCTATCATGATTTCCTAATACTCGATTTCAACTTGAAGATTGCTTATGTAGGAGAAAGATCTACTGGATGTTATGAGAGTACGCAGAGAGCTTACCCCTATGCAGACTCTTTTTCCTCAATTTGTTGGTAGGGTCTTGGAGGAGATTTTTATTGATATGAGTTTGGAAATAGTTTGATCATAATATGAATGACCCCACTATTTTGTATTATGCCTTTGATTAAAAGATTCTTGAAAATGTTTGGCTTTGATGAACCCTTTTGAATAAACTCCTTTTGATCGAGCCTCACAGTGGTTTGCCCCAACATTCGAAATTTTGAAAGATGTGCCCCTCAATCTCCAGGATATGGAGGAAGTACCTTCAGAAAGAACTTAGACCTCACCATGAACTTGACATAGATTGCCCGAGGTATTTGAAGCTTGAAAAGTTTGTACTTGAAGTTTCTTGAAGAATCTGGACTCTACATGCAGTAGGATGAACCTGGTACGTACTGCCCCAACATTTGAATCTAGGAAGGTTACCCCTAATTACCAAGACCTCGAGAGGTTTGTTAAAACAAGGAAACTGAGTCATACCCTATTGTGATATGACCTGATTAAGAAATGCTTCTTTGAAAGGTATGCTCCTGATTGAACAATGCTTTGAATTTTGATTGAATCTCAGAATGATCACCCCCTGTCAATAGTATCTTCAAGTGATATACCCCTATGATCAATAATAATTGTCCCTATTTATAGGGGTCCTCCTAGATGCTTTTCCCCTAGTTAGAAGCATCTTGGAAATGCTGCCTTTGATCATACCTTTTCTTTTAAAATCTCCTTAATGCTAAGTATCGATTTGTAGATAAAATTGTAAATTTTGAAAAGTAGTCCTAATGTAATGAACATGCAAGTTCTTGAATCGAAATTTGTTATGGAATAGAAATGGATGGTTAGATATAGAGATTTGAAGAAGCAAAGTGATTAATAATTCTAACAAACATAGGAGTCAGTTTAACATAAATCTTGCTGAGTATGCTTTCATAGTGAACCTAACTTCAATTAGGACTTTTAAAAGTTATAACGTGGCCATGGTTCGTGGTTTAAGAAACAAAAGATATAAGGCTAAAAATATATTTAGCCCACACCATTCTCCTTGATGTTCTCCAGTCCTAATTTCAATTAATGCAACATATGCGCTTAATTCCCAAGAGAAATTTCGTAGTCGCGTAGATGGTGAGAAGTCTAGATAAAGATTCGAGCACCGACGAAGAGCATTGATAGAATCCAAGCATTGATAAGATGCAAGCATTAATAAGATCCAAGCATTGATGATAATCCTTTGAGGTTATTGAGATGGTAGTTACAAGGTTGTTCTCCAATTTATT